CTGCACTCCAGTCTGGGTGACAGAGTGAGACTCCAACTCAAAAAAAAACCCCAAAAAAACAAGAAAGAAGATTCAAATAACTAAATTCAGGATTGGAAGAGGGGATATCGCTACCAATCTTACAAAAATAATATGTATCGTAAGATAATACTGTGAACAATTGTATGCCAACAAATTAGATAACCTAGATAAAATGGATGAATTTCTAGAAAGATAATAAATTACTAAAAAAAAAAAAAAAAAACCCAGCCAGATGTAGTGGCTCAAGCCTGTAATCCCAGCCCTTTGGGAGGCAAAGGTGAGAGGATTGCCTGAGCCCATGGGTTCGAGAACAGCCTGGGCAATTTGACAAGACCTTGTCTCTACCATAAATCAAAAAATTAGCTGAGTGTGGTAGCACGTGCAGGTAATTCTGGCTACTTGGAAGGCTTAGGCGGAAGGATCACCTGAGCCCAGCAGGTTGACACTGGGGTGACCGTTAGCATACCCCTGTACTCCAGCCTGGATGACTGAGTGAGACTCCAACTCAAACAAAGCAATAAAAAAATAGAATACCTATGTAGATCTACAACAAATAAAGAGATTGAACTAGTAATCAAAGAATAGTTTAAATTATGGGCCGGGCTTGGTGGCTCAGCCTGTAATCCCAGCACTTTGGGAGGCCGAGGTGAGTGGATTGCCTGAACCCGCCGCAGGTTCGAGACCAGCCTGGGCAACCTGTCGAGACATCGTCTCTACAATAAATTAAAAAGAAAATTAGCTGTGCATGGTAACATGCACCTGTAGTTGGAAGGCTGAGGCAGAAGGATCGCCACAGCCTAGTGGGTCAACACCAGGTTGGCCATGAGTGTGCCACTACACTCCAGCCTGGGTGACAGAGTGAGACTCCAACTGAAAAAAAAAATTAGCTGGGCATGGTAGTGTGCCTGTAGTTCCAGCTACTTGGAAAGCTGAGGTGGAAGGATCACCAGAGCCCAGCAGGTCGCGGCTGGTATGGTCATGAGTAAGCCACTGCACTCCAGCCTAGGTGACAGAGTGAGAATCCAACTCAAAAAACCAACAACAACAAAAGAAAATGCAGCATTTTGGAGACCATCATACTAAGTGAACTCTCACAGAAACAAAGAACTGAATACCACATGTTCTCACTCATAAGCAGGTCCTGATCACTATATTAGCACAAGGGTGGGACACTGCTGGGGAGGAGAAGGGAGGGGACATGTGACAACACACTGGGTACCTGGTCCACTCCCAGGGGGAGAGAGAGCTAGCTAGAAGCCTAAACTTGACCTGCATGCAACCTACTTATGTAGTCAATCCCCATTTGTACCCTACAACTCTGAAATGTAATAAAATTCAGCTTTTGGGTAGGTGCAGGATTGCTATAAGCCTACGTATAGACTCTAGTATGATTTGAGAAAAAGCAGAATCATGGTATGACAATTTAAAGCAAAAGGAAGGTGAAGGATCCAAAGCTGGATAATTTAATGCTAGCAAAGGATGGTTTGATAATTTTAGAAAGAGATTTCGCTTTTTTTGTTTGTTTGTTTGTTTTTCTGAGTTGGAGTCTCACTCTGTTGCCCAGACTAGAGTGCAGTATCCGCTCTCGGCCACCACAGCCTCGACCTGCTGGGCTCTGGCGATCCTTCCGCCTCAGCCTTCCAAGTAGCTGGAACTACAGGCGCGCGCTACCACGCCCGGCTCATTTTTTTGATTTATTGCAGAGATGAGGTCTCGCCAAGTTGCCCAGGCGGGTCTCGAACCCGCGGGTTCAGGCAGTCTGCTCACCTCAGCCTCCCAAAGGTGCGGGATTACAGGCTGAGCCACCGAACCCGGCGAGATTTCGCTTTTATTTTTTTTAATTTTTTTTAATTTTTTTGAGTTGGAGTTTCACTCTGTCACCCAGACTGGAGTGCAGTGGCCGCTCCCGGCCACCGCAACCTCAACCTGCTGGGCTCCGGCGATCCTTCCACCTCAGCCCTCCAAGTAGCCGGAATTACAGGCATGCGCCACCATGCCCAGCTGATTTTTTGATTTATTGTATAGATGACGTCTCACTGCCCA